ATCTGTCTGAAGGGGATTTTCACACTTCCCCACTAAATGTACACACACACACACACACACACACACACACACACACAGCTCAGCTATTAACCACCCCCTCACTCTGCCCAAACCAGGTCTGAACTGATCACAGCAAAGGAGATAATTGAATGGAGGAGCCCTGAGCTGGAGCTGTCTGACCCAGCAGCTCCCCAACCTGCTCTGGGCCACATGGGGAGAAAGCTGGCAAGGAGCCAGGCTGCCTGCCAGCAGGAGGGGAACCCTGCTAGGAACAATAAATGGGGACACAGAGCTGGAAAAGCAATGTTGATTGTTGAATGCCTTGCAGCACTGTGCTCATTCGCTGCCCCCTTCCCAATAGGGCTCCCAACCCCTCCTTACTCTGGTTGAAGGAGGGGGTCAATTATTTGAGAAGTATCACAAGCTTCCGGATCAAGACAGGCAGGACACTGGGGCCTGCTTGATGTAAGACTATAGCCATTGGGAATGACCCTGGGGACCCAGCTTACTCCTGGACAGAAAGAGCATTGGTTCCAAGTCCCTCCCCAGCCCCTCCCCACCACCCAAGAACTTTCCTTCTCCTGGGGGAGCATCCTTTTACAGGTCTCTCAATTGCTAGAGAGCAGCAGGTTTAACTCCTGAAGTGCCCAGTTGGTTCCTCTGAGAAGCCTGGCTCATCGGTTGTCACTGTCATCCATGCCAAGCCCTCTCCTGCCATGCCCACTCCTCAGACCAGGGGGCCAAGACCTATCTGTGCCCACATATGTGTGCTTATCTACATATAGTTACTTGTATATGCGCATGCTCATTCATGTGCTCAAGCACATAAATACAAATAGATACCCAGATAAATATGTGTAAATGGATTGATTCATACAGAGTATGGACACTCACACTTGTATGCATTAACAGATACTTACAGATTCCCTGAGCCAACTTCATATACACCCAGCTGAATGCAAATACACACATCTCTGCCCCCCAGACATACACATTTGTCCCAAATTGCCCCTGCACAGCTAGGTGGACTTGTGACCCCCACCCCAACATACCCACAAGTGCATCAAATCCTGCATAAACTCACTTACCTAACCTCTGGGCTGAGGTCTGGCTTAAGTCCATAGAAAGTGGCCGAGAGTGTGATCAGCCAGCCAGGACGGAGCCGACCCTGCTGGCATTCCAGGAAGGGAGGAGACAGCTTCACCTGCTGCATGTCCCCCACATATCCATCCCCCCGTGGCCACTTGGGGCTGCCTAGGCTCCTTAGGTCATTGGTCAGCACCCGCTTCTGCAGGGCAACGGTATCCAGGTCCCCGGCAGGGCTCTCCTCCTGCACCCTGTTCCCAGACAAGTCCTGAAGAATAGTCTCCTCCCCGATCCGGGTGGCCTGCAAGGCCAGCTGTAGGTGTCTGGCCCCTGGTGGAGGGTTAAAGATCAGCAAAGCCCGGTACGCCCTTGGGTCCCCCTCAGCCACGCTGCGGACCAGTGCCTGGTACCACTCCACATCCTCCTCCACACTGGACTCGCGGATGTCGTTGGCTTGCAGCAGCATGTTGAGAAAATTGGCAGCCTGGGTAAGGGTGCCCGCTGCCCTCCGGAGGACTGGGGGGAGCTCTGGTTTGGCTCCTGCCCCACGCGCTTCATAGCGCTCACTGCAATTAGCCCCCAACAGCTGTTGGGCATCTCCAGAGTAGAGAAAAGCCAGGGCTGCCTCGGCCCCCTCTGGGGGCACCCACAAGGGCACAGATCCTGGCTTGACTTGGGAGGACAGCGGGGGTAGAGAGCGGAGGGGCCGTGGACCCCCTAGAGCCCAGCCACAGAGGAAACTCCAGCCCAGCAGCCCCCATAGAGGAAGGGGCTTGACCACTGCCCTGGTGCCCATCCTCTGGGCAGCTCTCTGGACCCTGGGGTTCAGGCTGCCTGGGGGATTTGGTGGCTCAGGGGAGCCCAGGCAGAGGCTGGCAGCAGTCTGGGGGCTTCCTGCCTCCACACTTCTTATCCTGGTGTTCCCTCTTCCTCTCTCCCTCTCTCCCTCTCTCCCACTGGCGCTGTCTCGCTGTTTTTTCTTCTCTCTAACGTCATCAGCTGGCTTCTGGATGTAGGTGTGAGGGCCCTGCCCCCTCCTCTCTCAGCGTGGCCCCCCATCTCAAACCCTCTTAATCCTGGCACACCCTTTCCTCCCCCTCTTATCCAGTGTCCAGGCTCCCTCCACTCCCCACCCCCCACCCCACATCTGCTCCAGAGAGAGAAAGAGATGGGAGGGAAGGGGAGAGGAAGGGACCAGTCCTGCTGTCTCCTCCCTCCCTCCCTCTGCCCTTTGCTCCATTAGGAGAGATTGGCAAATCCAGGACGGGGCACCATAGCAACCGCAGATGATCCTGTGCCCCTCTCTCCACCCCTCTGCTCCACTCAGCCTCCTGGCAGCAATTGCAACGGGCATGATAAAGGGCCAAGCTGCATCTCCTGGCAGTCTGCTTTGGCTGCCTGCACCCCTTGACACTGTGCTGCTGAACTTGAATTTGAGATTGCGGATGGCAAGGGTAGGAAAGAGAGTCTAACATAACCATAATCAATCTTTGTATAGACTGTGGCACTTTATGAAGTGTGTTTCACGTGTGTTATCTCAATGAATCTTCCCCACAACCATGTGTGGTGAATATTCTTATTGCCATTTCACAGATACAGACACTGAGGCTCAGAGACTCACCCAAGATCAAGTAGCTGCTCACTTTGAGTCGAGACTCAAACCCAGAGCTCTGACTCCCCTACGCTCAAACCACCACCCTGTTTCTCCACCTTAGGGCATATAATAAAGCCTTCTTACAGAGGGGTAAATCAAGGCCCAGAGAAGTGAAGGGACTCCCTAGGACCACACTGTTATTGGTGACAGAGCTAGAGCCTCCACCTCCCTGCCTAGGCCTTCCTTTTCTTGCACCCCAGAGTTAACAAGCACGTCAGCAATGGTGGGGGCTGCAGGGGTAGGGGGTGGGGTGGGAGAGAGAGTGGACAAAGATTTGCCTCCACTTTTTCTCCCACTATCACTTTATCTCCCTAAGCCCTGCCTTCTTCTCCATTTTTTTATGAAAACTGTGCCTAGTCTCTCTCGCTCTTGCTCTCCGTTTTCTCACCCCTCACATCCTGTACACAGTAACTGGGGCGACCCAGAATTGGCACTCTCTGAAGCAGCCTCCCTGGATCTGGAAGGGCTTGGATTCTTGGGGGAAGCCACAGAACAAAGCTCCTGCCCGCCCCCCCCATCACCTTTCCATCCCCAATGTGCTTCCCACATACCCACAGGCAATGCTAACTCTTGGTTTCTTTCCTTCTAACCCCTACCCACACCCCATCTTAAACCTTTGATGTCCCAGATCACTGACTGTATGCAGGAAGGGATGGGTGGTGGCTGCTAAAAACTCCCCTTGCTTTATGGGTAGCCTCTGCAAATGACAATTCTGCTGTGGAACCTCAGTGGGAATGTAAGGGGTATGGGGGAGATTAGGGAAGGGGGCTAGAGGACAAATTCTCAGGAAAATTTCTATGATGTCAGAACTAAAAGGGCCCACAGCCCAGACTTTTCTTTAACAATAAGGGAACTAAAAGCCTGAAAGGAAAGTGACATTCCCAAGGCCACCAAGTCAGTTAATGGCACAGCTGAGATCAGAAATCTGTATTGCGCATCTGTAGCTTTTTCCTTGGCCTCTCGATTCTGTGTGTTAACGGAGAGAGGGACGAAGGGGAGAGAGTGATCTATTCCACTTCGTGATATTTGTTACTGGTTATCAGTTGAGGGTCAACAAAACCCACTAGGTAAAGACATAATACATAATACATAATAGTAAGTTAACATAATTTTTTCCCCAAGAAGCTTTTAATAATAATAATTAACATTTATTTGTTTCAATGATAATAACACATTATTATTTAATAATAATAATTAACATTTGTACCATTCTTTAGAATTTATCAAGCACATTTATGCTTAAGTTTTCATTTAATCCCAACAACAGCCCTGTCAAAGGGGGTTTATATTACTGATGCATTTTTATAAGTGAACCACAGGTTCTGAGCTATTCAATTATTTGTGCTTGGTTATATATCCAGGAAGTGGCATGATCAGGACTCAAACTAGACCAACCATAAAGTCCACAGGGGTAGGGACCGTGTCTGCCTCACCATCAGTGCACCCCCAAAGATTGGCCCATCGTTTGAATAACTAAATGAACCTCAGAACTTCTTTAGATTCTCTAAGTTTCTTCATATACCTTTTTATTATTTTTATATTTTATTATTATTATTTTTTAAAGATGACCAGTAAGGGGATCTTAACCCTTGACTTGGTGTTGTCAGCACCACGCTCACCCAGTGAGCAACCGGCCATCCCTATATGGGATCCGAACCTGCGGCCTTGGTGTTATCAGCACCGCACTCTCCCGAATGAGCCATGGGCCGGCCCCATAAACCTTTTTAACTAGGTCCCTACCACTGTAGAGATCTCTTTTACAGCACTCCGTGAAAGAGGTATGTGCAGACATAAAACTCGCTCAACAAACACACTGGTCCTAGTTACACAATCACAAAGATACCTTTCCTTTGCTTGAAGCATAACTTTCAATGTTTTTTTCCAGGACTTGGGCTACAGGCCTGGATAATTAAGGAAATGGAGAAAGGCAGCATTCCTTGCCCTGCCTTAGAAAGAGCTTGTGTGTGTTCCCCTGTACCTCTGTGCTCTCTGTGCAAGTGGAGGTTCCCCAGATGGCCAAAATAGTCAGCCTCTTCTGGGGCCAAGAAAGTAGCTGGACAGCAGAGGGCGCTGCAGAGCCACAGACCTTAACTTTATCCTGTAATCTGCTCTGGGTCAGAGTTTCCCAGAGAGCTACGGATCTTGGGTGGTCCCCTTAGGCCTCAGGCGTTCTGTGATCCTATAGCAATTTCTCTTCTTTTCTCCAGAAACCTGAGTGACATCTGAGAGGTAGCTGGGATGGGGGGGCGGGTAGAGAATAAAATCTTTGGAGTCAGAACTGGTTTTGAATTTCACGGCATCTCTTTGAACTGAGCGACCTTAGCTAAATAACTCGCTGACCTTCTGTTTCTTCACGTGCAAGGAAGGATATTAATTCTGTTGTGCAGAATTGGAGATGAATCTGTATTTGGAGACTCTTACAAGGCTTAAGGTTGAACAATCATTCCATGCTTATGTATCAAGGGCCTACTCTGTGCCAGGCACAGTCCTTGGCACTGGAGAGTCCATTGGGGGAAAAAGCAAACATGGCTCCTGCCCTCGTAGAATTTACAGTTCAGAAAGGAAGACTGATTTTAGTCAAATAACCTCACGGATGGATGACAAATTACATATGTGCAATAAAGTGCAGCAAAGGAGTGGTCTCAGAGCTCAGTGAGAAGGAAGTGCTCAGGTGCGGAGATTTGCCCCAGGTAGTGAGGAGTGAGTTCAATCTGAAGGATGAGTAGGAGTTTACTAAGTAAAAAGAGAGGGAAAAGTCTTCCAAGAAAAGGGAATAGCTTATGCAATGCCCATATATGTGGGAGCATGACACCAGGTTAATAGGACTGCAAGGGACAGAGAACAAGGTGGAGCTTGGTGGGAGATGTAGCCAGAGAGAGGCAGGGGTCAGATCACACAGGGCCCTACAGGACTCCTTAAGGAATTTTGTCTTTAACCTAGGAACAATGGGAAACTGTGAAGGATTTTAATCACAGGCTATGAACAAATTTCCATGTTGAAAAGGTCCCTCTGGCTGCAGGACTCATCTCAGACCCTTGATCTTCTTCCCCTCAATGCACCCTCAGGTACTAAAGTTGCTAAATTCTGCTGACTGATGGTTCCTCCTTATCTTTTGCATCCTTGGACATCTCCTACAGTTCCTAATTGGTCTGTCTGTCTCCAGTCCTGCTGTAGAGTGGATGCCTCCCTAACCTCATCGAAGCTTAAATCCCCATTGTTAACTGAGGGTGAGAAATCCTATTAATGGTAATTGAAAGGTGGACTAGATTGTAGGACCATGCCATAGTGAATGAATTAAAAATGATGCTTGGGGGTGTGGTTCCGAGGGCTTTAAAGGAAGAGCCCAAGAGGTTAGTCTCTGCTCTGCCATTTTCTGCCATGTGAGACCCCTGGGTCACTGTTGCCACCAACAAGCCTTTCACCAAATGCGTTCCCTGAACTTTGGACTTCCCAGCCTCCAAAACTGTAAACAATAAATTTTATTTTCTTATAATTACCCAGTTCCAGGTATGGTGTTATAAGCAACAGAAACAGACTAATACAAGTCCCACCTCCTCCACACAAGCTTCATTTTATTTGATCTTCACGACATGCCTGCAAGTAAGCAGAGCTGCAATCCTTATCTCTATTTTATTTTATTTTATTTTTTTGCAGCTGGCCAGCAGGGAGAACTCACTTATCTCTATTTTACAGATGAAAAAAACCGCGGTCTAGTGGTGCTATGGAGCTGGCTCATACCGGCTTGTGAAAGTCAATTGTTAAAATCTCAGGAATTTTGCAAACCAGTTGTTAAACACAACTTCTATTAAGTTTTGATAACACCAAGGTCAAGGGTTTGGATCTCCTTACTGGCCAGCTGCCAAAAATAAAAAAATTATATAAAGTTATGATTAACTTATATTTAAAAAGGTAATAAGCGCTCAAAACTCATCACTTCCTAACAATTTTACCCATGCTCTTGGGATTATTTATGTCTATTGTATCTGCATGATTAAACTACTATTAATGATATATTACAGTTCATCTCTTTTGGTGTCTAGTAAAGTCAAGTTGATAGATTGAAATCAGCCATGGTGGGAGTATTTACACCATGGAACTGGGCAAATGCTACAAATCAGGGCTTGATTTATTGTTGTGTCGATTACCTAAAGGGAGGGAGAAAATTTTAATAATTCAGATTTAAACTTAATGTATATGTCCGTAGCCGTTACATCACGAATAGCACAAGAATTGAGGAAATTTTCTTCCAGTATTTGAAAACTTTTCTGACTCAGCATAGAAATCACTCCCATCATTGACAGTCCAGTTATTTTTTTCACTTTCCTCTTACCTTAACATAGAGGAAATTATCGTCTTGTCATGTCGCAATTACATCCCTTGGTCAATTGAAACCAGTTTGGCTACCTATATGAGCTTGGCAAAAATCAATAAGATCATTCTGTGAGAATTAGTAATATGGAATTTGCTATTGTATATTTTTATTATTTGTAAATTGTGTGCTACATATCCTTTATATCAATAAAATTTACGGTAAATTTATGTACTTATTGATAAGCACATACATTCCCTTTCTCCCCCCAGAGAGCCGATTGTTAGACATTTATCAGCACACCACCGGATCTAGAACACATTCATGTAGTCATTCCATAAATATTCACCGGATGCCAGGAAGGGGATACAAGTTAATGATGAAATGACTCGGCCAAGGTCACCTATGGATGGCAAGGAGCATGAGCCGGACAAAAACCACAGACACTCCTAAGGCCAGCGGCTTTCCCCCAGGATCAGACCATGGTTCCCAAAGCCGCTCCATCCCACCGAGAGAGATGGGCCAGGAACCCAGGAAGTGGAAAGTAAGAGTCAAGGGCAGAAGACCAACGCTAGCATGGACTCAGCTCACCGCCAATGGCGGACTAGGGCCCGCGAAACGTCACGTGCCGTGGAGGCCGGAGCCAGCCCACCCCGCGGGAAGGGGGCGGAGTAAACCTCCCGGAAATGACGTTTGTCCGGGGGGCGGTCCTCGCGGCGGCGGCGGCGGCGCGCGGCCTGGGCCTGCGCTGGGCTCCGCGCG